ACGACTCGACGGCACTTAACAACAACAACAACAACACTGTGGCTCCCAGCCAAACAACAGACAGGCATATGAGTTGAACATTTACCTTAGGTAGATACACTCCTTGGAGAGAACAATCATGGGAGAAAGAAGGGCTGCTTATGCACAGGGAGACAGCTCAGTGGGCAGGAGTGCATGGAGGGAGGGACACAGGGAAGAGGTAACTATCGGAAGGAAGTATTAGGGGAGATGGTGCATTGTGGCAAATTGTGGTCAATGTCATGAGACAAAGTGTATGTGAATTGCTGTATGGAGAGTGAATTTGCTCTGTAAATTTTCACCCAAATCACACACACACACACACACACAATTTAAGATCAGGAAAAACTGGAAACAACCTAAACACCTAAAATGAGGGGATTGGTTCAATCACAGTATATTCATACAATAGAAGGCTACACATTCCCTTTGGAGTCAGCCTGCCTGTGTCTGGATTCTGGCTCTGCCACTTACCAGCTGTGTGACCCAGGAAAAATGACTTAACCTACCTCTCTGTACCTCAGTTCTTTCATCTATAAAAATAGGGGTAACAGTAACTAACTCATAGAATCGTTTGTAAGAAATAAATGCGTTAAGTCATGTCAAACACTTAAAACAAACACAGTGTTAGCTATTTAATTATTGTTCTGCCGCTGAGCTGGACCCGACTCATAGCGACCCCTCCTTGGGTTTCCGAGGCAGTATCACTAGGGAAGTAGATTGCCCAACCCTCCTTCCAAGGAGTGGCTGGTTTGTTTTCCATTCAGTAGTTTATACATACTTTGTTTCATGACACTGAGTATAATCCTCACAGTGTAACAGGTCTCTTCCCACTTCCTCCCTGTGGTTACTTTTTCCCTGTGTCCTTCTTTCCTATGCATTCCTGCCCTTTTGAGTTTCTTCCTGTGTAAATACTGCCCTTGTAGTTTCTCCCCTTGTAGGGGAGAAAATATCTAGCTGGGTAAGAGACACATACTGATTTGGGTGAAGGAAAAGGCCATATACCAAAAGTGGATAATCAGCACAGTATCACTACAGAAAGGAAGACACAGAGAGTTGCACAAGAGGGACAGACAACAAAGGTAAATACTATTACATACACAAGACTGCACTATCAGTAATAACAAACAGTAATCTGTGGGAGGATCAGAGGTAGACAGGCAAGATGATCAGGTATGGGTAGGCAAACGGGAATATGCCTATGACCATATATAGGTTTGGCAGATGATACTTCTACATACATACGTTATGTGCCATCGAGTCAGACCAGACTCATAGTGACCCCTCCTTGGGTTTCCGAGGCGATATCACTATGGAAGTAGATTGCCCAACCTTTCTTCTGAGGAGTGGCTGGTGGGTTTGAACCACCAGCCCTCTGGTTAGCAGTCAAATGCCTCAGGCACTACGCCACCAGAGCTCCCATCTACATACATAGTGCTATAAAAATGCCTGTATCAATATCTATGTTGTTGTTGTTATGTGCCGTTGAGTTGGACCTGACTCATAGTGACCCCTCCTTGGGTTTCTGAGATGGTATCACTACGGAAGTAGATTGCCCAACCTTCCTTCCGAGGAGTGGCTGGTGGGTTTGAACCGCCAGCCTTCTGGTTAGCAGTCAAGTGCCTTAGGCACTACGCCACCAGAGCTCCTATATCTGTACCTATATAAAATAGAGCTAATGGGGCAAAAGTGAGGAGAATTTACTAACCACAACCAAACAACTTGAGGGAGTGAGTCACTGGACTGGGACTATGGGCTCGGGACCATGGTCAGTGGACATCAAGCTCAACTGGCATAACATAATATACAAAAACACTGTTCTACACCCTACTTTGTTTGGTGAGTATCAACTGGGATCTTAAAAGCTTACAAGTGGCCACCTAAGATGCAACTACTGGTCTCATAAGAGGCAAAGAAGAGTAAAGAAAATCAAAGATGCAGTTGACTGGTCCAAGGGACTAGTGGACCATAGGAGCCTCAGCCTACATGACCCTGAGACCAGAAGAACTAGATGGTGCCTGGCTACCATTGCCAATCACTCAGAAACAATTAAATAGCTAACACTGTGTTTGTTGTAAGTGTTTGACATGACTTAATGCATTTATTTCTTACAAACAATTCTATGAGTTAGTTACTGTTACCTGGAGATCCTGGATAAGAGTGGGAGAAAAATGTAGACTAAACTCAAAATCATAAAAAAAAAGACCAGACTGGTCTGATAGAGACTGGTGAAACCCCCTCGACTATGGCCCCTAGTCACCCTTCAGGCGTGGAAGTGAACTCACTTCTGTGGCCTAATTTTCAGGCAAACAACAGATAGGCCTACAAGATGAAAAATTATACTAGGGAGATATACTCTTTAGAAAATTCAACCAGGGGAGATTACAAGGGCAGTATTTACACAGGGAGATAGCTCAGAGGGCAGCAATGCATAGGAAAGAAGGACACAGGGAAAAAGTAAGCACAGGGAGGAAGTGGGAAGAGACCTGTTACACTGTGAGGATTATACTCAGTGTCATGAAACAAAGTATGTATAAACTACTAAATGGAAAACAAATTTGCTCTGTGAACTATACACTAAAAAGAGTAAGAGTGAAATTTACAAAAATTAAAAACAAAAACAAAAAAGGACAAGAGTTGGTGAAATCCAAACTGTTAAGATGACAGTTTAAAAAAACAAAACAAAACCAGGTTGGGGAACTGGTTGTGTCAAATCTCAGTGTAGAATCCCAGCTACATCATTTTCTATCTGTGTGACAATGGGCAAGTCACTTATTCTGTTTCTTCGTAACACAATGGGGATAATCAAAGTCATGGGGCTGTGGTTAGCACACAACAAAAACTCAACATAGCAAAGCTTGCAGAAGTTGGAACCTATGTAAGGCTGACCTGCCAGAGAAGGAAAACTCAAACATTTTCTACAAATAGAAAGTGATAGAGAAGTGGTAAGACTACCCTGCCAAAGGCAGAAAACTTGAGAGACCCAGAAAACAAGGTAGCTTCATCCAGTTCCAGCTCTCCCAGGTTTCACTGTGCACATTATCATTATTCTGTGTATAAACATAAGCAGATAGGAATCTAGGAGCACAACCACTGAAGTATTAAATGTCTTCTTAGAAGGAATACAGGTGATTTAATTTATTGCTATTAATTTTTCTTTAATGAAAATAGAGAACTTAATCCTCAGTCATCTTCTGTTAAAAAATGCAAAATGCACTGCCATCGAGTTGGTTCTGAATCATAGCGACCCCTCCTTGGGTTTCCGAGGCAGTATCTCTATGGAAGTAGAGTGCCCAACCTTCCTTCCAAGGAGTGGCTGGTGGGTTTGAACTATCAGCCATCTGGTTAGCAGTCAAATGCCTTAGGCACTATGCCACCAGAGCACCCATCTTCTATTAATGGACCTTCTACTTGTTAAATGTCAAAGAAAGAAAAGATCAAAACAGGCACTGTAACTAACTGGCAGTGCCATCAGATCACCTACTCCACCACACACAATAAAGCTAAAATCACCAATTACTTTTCCTTCCTAACTCAATGCACCCTGCTTCTCTGGGTGCTCTCTTCTCTCAATATATGAAGTAGGAGGTCAGAGGATAAGGGGTTTGCCCAAAGTCGGATAGCCTGTTGACAGACAGGTGCTAGAAATAGAATCTAGTATGTTTAACTGTGCCAGGCAAGCTCCAATTTATGTGTCCAAAATAGGGAATTAAGATAAAGTGGTATTTTCAAACCACAAGACAAAATTTTCTCTTCAGTTACAAGGAAAACAAGCTGGTTAATCATGGCATGGAGAAGATGGGATGGATACTGCCACAAGACGAAAAGAACCCCTTCTTACAAAAGGATTTTAAACTGAAAGCAAAATTCTATAATGTGGAGATGTCCACTAACAAAAAGGAGAGGCTGATTTTTACTGTGGATGTGCCTTCTAGTAACCAGAAGATGCAGGCAATTAGCAGAAGCTTAATGATACCCTTTCTGAGAGCCTGCTTAGAAGGCTGGATAAGTTAGTTGTTAGTTAAGTTCCCAGGGAATCATTTAACAAACAAATATAGTAGCTCAGCCAAAGGATGCTCCATTAGTTTACCAAGTAAGAAAAACGTGCTCGGTTTTAAATTTTCTAATGTTTAGATTAACAGCAATCTAGTCTGTGCCATGCTATTTTGTGAACTGGTCAGCCGGCAGAGGTGCCTATCTGCACACACACAAGGGTGGTCAATTCACACCTTGAACTCCTCCCAGGGTGATCAACTTGTTTTATTTATTTATTTATAATTAACACATAGATCATGCTTTATATATGATTTTCCATGGACTAAGAATATAAAACGTGTGAAAACAATCTGAGTGCTGATCCTTCTGGAATTTTACATTATCCTCTCTCAAATATTTTTTTACCTGCCTCTTCTAAGCCTACTTTTTTTTGGGCCTTCAAATGGTTTTTTTTATGAATTTTTAATTATTATTATTTTAATTTTTGCAGTGTTCCCTCCCCTCCTACCCCTGGTAACCAACAAAGAATATATACAAACCTTTCCTTGACTTTTTACAATAATGAACTAATATTTGTCTTTCAATGATTGACTTATTTCACTCAGCATAATGCCCTCCAAGTACATCCACATTATGCAGTGTTCTGCAAATGCTACGTTATTCTTTAGTGTTGCATAGTATTCCATTGTGTGTAGGTACCATAGTTTTGTCACTCATTCTTCTGTTGATGGGCACCTAGGTTGTTTTCATCTTTTTGATATTGTAAATAGTGTGATCCCCCTTTGGGAGGTCTGGTGGCATAGTGCCTAAGGCATCTGATTGATAACCAGAAGGCTGATGGTTCAGCCACTCCTTGGAAGGAAAGTTGGGCTATCTACTTCCATAGTGATACCACCTTGGAAACCTAAGGAGGGGTCGCTATGAGTCGAAATCGACTCGACGGCAGTGAGTTAATCCCCCTTCTCTCCTCCCTCAGAGATATTCATTATCTTGAATTTTAGATTCCCTTGTTTTTCTTTATTGTATTTCATAATCCTTAAATAATATATTTTTAATTTTTTATGTTTCTGGACTTCGAGATATATGTAATCATATTGTTAAGTGGTATACAGCAATTTCCTTTTTTCTTTCAATAATGTTCTTTAGTACTGCAGGCAGCTTTAAGTTTGTTTATTTTCACAGTACAGGTTACTACTACTGATGCGCTTTCAGGCTGTTCTCTGTTTTCATTGCCAATGTTGCTATGACGTTCCTGCACTTATCTGCTAGTATATAGAGGGGTAAGTTTCTCTAGTCTAGGGTACACATCTAGAAGACATGCTGGCTGGACAGGCTACTGCCTCCTGTTTATTCAGTAGTGGCTGTATCTATTCACAATCCTATCAGGCAGTATTAAGTATTCTGGTTGGTCTAGAAGGAGCTCTAGTAGCACAGCAGTTAAAACATTTGGCTGCTATCCAAAAGGCTGGTGGCTTGAACCCACCAGCTGTTCTATAGCAGAAAAACGAGGCAGTCTACTTCCATAAAGACTGACAGCCTTGGAAACCCTACAGGGCTGTTCTCCCCTGTCCTACAGGGTTGCTAGGAGTTGGAATTGATTCAATGGTAGTGGGTTTGTATTTCTGGGGGTTTGGTTGGTCTATACCTTCTTTCATCAAATTCTGTTACATGGGGTGAACCTCAGGAAAGTTAGGTTGGTGAGTGATTTTCTTTATTCTTAATCATCTACTGAGCTTCTTTAAAGAGGAAAACACATAGGCGATCTACTTACCGAGCAAAGGTACTTTATTTTGCAGCAGCTCACAGTAGCTTGTGGTGAGAATTCCAATGGGATTACTTGGTACGAACCGTCCTTCTTTTACTAAACGTTCACACGTTCGCATTAAAGTCCCTGAGAACTGAGATGGATCAACTCCATAGTCTCTCCATCCTCCTACACCATCTGCAACACCTTTAAAGAAAAAAAGATAACATTTAAACAATGTTCTTTCCAACTTCTCAGGAGTTAACTTTCTCCACCTAACAGTTGATTTTACTACATACTAGTCACCATGTGTTTCAATCAACAATGGCAACTGGTTTGTTATTTTATTTTTGGTCTTTAGTACATATACATATACAGGAGCTCTGGTGGCACAGTACCTAAGGCATTTGACTGCTAACCAGAAGCCTGGCAGTTCAAACCCATCAACCAACCACTCCTCAGAAGGAAAGTTGAGCAATCTTCTTCGGTAGTGATACCAACTTGGAAACCCAAAGAGTCACTATGAGTTGGATCCAACTCAACGGCAGTGCGGGGTTTTTTTTTTTTTTTGGTACATATATTTTCCCTGAAATTTGGAGTCAAAAGTCTTCAAGCTTAACGTATTATACACTGATAACCATAGGCCACATACTTAGAATGTGGTCTTCCATAGATGGATGAATAAACATTTTGAGCTACTAGAGGGTGGCATTGCCTACCAGCCAAGAGTTCAGTTTCAACAGGATTGTCAACTTTGTGTGGAAGTATCTATGTTAAACTGGCTTAATGTAAAATGGACATCAGGAATTCTATTTTCCTGGTGATACCAGTTGTCAAACAGAAAGGGAACACATGGTGAAGTGGTAAGAGGAAACAGAATTAGAAGATAGTAAAAAGGGTAACAAATAATGTAACCCTGGGGCAGTGGCTTTCCCCACTTTATATAACCAGCCAGTGAGCACAATTTTACTTTGGGGCAATTCTAAATTAGTTGATTAAATGATCTAATGTCTGTGATTTGCTCGAAAATAATTCAGGGTGGGAGTGGTGGGGGAGTACACGAAACAAGATTAGCCATGAATGGGTAATTGCTGAAGTTGTATAAGTACACTCATCTCTACTTTGGAATATATTTGAAATCTTCCATACTACAAAGTTTAAATGACAACAACAACAGTAACAAAGCAGAAGTGGTGAGGGAACAAGTATAATTTTTTAGTCTATTTTCCAAGAAGTTCTGTACGAGATTTGGGAAACTATTAACAGGACTGAAGATAGTTTAATGGGGACTTCTTTTGAGGAATTCTCTTTTCGTAGGCTGAAGATTTCACCATGAATTTAAATGCAACAATTTATGTTAAAACACAAAATGCAATGATAGAGTCTTCAAAATGCCATCTGATGAATCATTCTTTTCAAACTACTGCTGCTTAAGGAAGAATTTCTTCTTAACCAGTCTCTGATCCAACAGCCACAATTAACTTTAAATACAAATTCGTTTCATCTACAAATACCCTTCACAAGAAAACCATTAAAATCTGAGATAATATAGAGAGTCACTCTTGGCACTCACTAAATAATCTGTCAGCAGGCTCCAGAGTCTGACCTGATCCAGCCCGGTCACATTAACCAGATCTCTCCCAGAATAGTGCACAAGCTTTCAGGCACCTGTTTACTTTTTACATGGAGAAAAGATCCCAGGCAAAACTCCACTGGTCAAATCTCCTTAAGAGAAAAAAGATTCAAAAAGCATATAAACCTTTCAATAAGGCTATGGAAAGAAAGCCTTACTGTACATCCATAATTACAAAGAACAAGTTACATAACGTCCAGAGTGGGATTTGGGATTAGAATCAGGATGAAACCAGAATAACCCTACCTCTCGTACATTTGAAACCCAGCTGTATTCATATGAGGCAGTTAATCCACAAGGAAATTAATGTCTTCTATTGTGCAAGCAAAAGCTTCAATTCACAAAGAGATGGTACCTCTTAAAAAGTAGAATTAATCCAAATATAAAGGGAAATTTCACTCAGAATACATCTCAAAGGTAAAGAAAACAATGCTAAGGGAAAGACAGCACAAGAACCCACAGACAGCAGGAAAGCAGCTATTTAAAAGGAAAGGCCAAGAATGTCTCCAAGAACCAGGCTTACTGGTCCAACAGAGACTGCCGAAACCTCTGAGACTATGGCCCCAGTCACCTTTCAGGCCTGGAAGTGACCTCAGTCCCATGGCGCAACTTCCAGCCAAACAACAGACAGGCCTAAGTGAACAATTACACAGGTAGGTACACCCCTTAGAATAGTCAATCCTGGGAGACCAGTAGGGCAGCATCTGCACAGGAAGACAGCTCAGGGGGCAGGGATGCACAGGAAAGAAGGGCACAGGAAAAAGGTAACCACAGAGAGGAAGTGGGAGGACAGCTGTTACATAGAAGGGATTGCAATACAGGGCATGAAACAAAATATGTATGTGACCTGTTGACTGGAAAATCAATCTGCTCTGTAAACTTTCACCCAAGTCACAATTAAAAAAAAAAAAAAAAAAGAATATCCCTAAAAGCAAACACAGGCCACAAGCACACTCCTACTACACACTGGGCAAGGAAATAGTGCATAGAGGGACCTACTGTCTGCCTTCAAGATGCTCACTACAGACTGGGAGCTCCACTACACAGGAACTGTTGTTGTTGCTATGTGCCCTTGAGTCAGACCTGACTCATAGCGACCACTCCTTGGGTTTTCGAGGCGGTATCGCTACGGGAAGTAGATTGCCCAACCTTCCTTCTGAGGAGTGGTTGGTGGGTTTGAACCGCCAGCCTTCTCGTTAGCAGTCAAGTGTCTTAGACACTACGCTACCAGAGCTCTAGACAAATTAAACCCATTGCCACTGAGTCGATTCAGACTCATAGTGATCCTACAGGGCAGAGTAGACTTGCCTCATCAGGTTTCCACGGCTGTAAATCGTTAGGGAAGCAGATTGCCTCATCTTTCTCCTGGGGAGTAGCTAGTACGTTCAAACCACCACCAGAGCTCCTACCTAAACAAAGGGTTCCTATAAATGCTGCTACAGGAGGGTCAAGAGGGAGGGTTTGATGCTTACAGGGCACTGGAAGAATGGAGAAGGCATTCTCTGAGGATGTGGCGTTCAGGTTAGTATGTGGCGGGCAAGTCAGAGTTTCACACACAAGGAAGGGTAATGACAGACAATTAGGTGGGGAGCTCTGGTGGTGTAGTGCCTAAGGTATATGACTGCTAACCAGAAGGCTAGCGGTTCAAACCCACCAGCCACCCTTTGAAAGGAAGGTTGGGCAATCTACTTCCATAGTGATACCACCTCAGAAACCCAAGGAGGGGTTGCTATGAGTTGGACCTGACTCAACGGCAGAAAATTTGGTTTGGTTTTTTGGCTTGGGGTTTGGGTGAGTGGAGAGAATTTGGAAAATGCAAGGCAGGAGCTGGAGTTGTGGAGATCCAAGAATGCCAGTCTAAAACCTATAGATTTTACACTGAAGATCTGTGCGGTCCAACACACCACTGATCACATGTAGGTACCAAGTTTCAAATGTGACTAGTACACACTGAGATGTGTGGAGTCCCAGGGTGGAGCAAATGGCTAACTCAATCAGCTGCAAACAGAGTCTTGAAGTTCAACTCCATCCAGAGAAACCTTAAAAGAGAGATGTGGCGATTTACTTTGAAAATTCAGTCATGAAATACCTATGGTGTACAGTCCTACTCTACACACATGAGGCTGCCACGAGTTGGAATCAAACTAACAACAACTTTTTTTTTTTTGCTTGTTGTTGTTTATAAAATACACACTGGATTCAAAAACAGTACAAAAAGGAAAATAGCAGTTAACACTTTATATTAAATATGTTGAAACAATAATATTTTATATGTTGTTGTTAGGTGCTATTGAGTTGGCTCAGACCTCATGCACAGCAGAATGAAACCCTGCTCGATCATGCACCATCCTCACAATCTTTGCTATACTTGAGCCCATTGTTGCAGCCATTGTTCAAACCATCTTGTTGAGGGTCTTCCCGTTTTTCTATGACCTCCCACTTTACCAAGCATGATATCCCTCTCCAGGGAATGATCCCTTCCAACAACATGACCAAAGAAGGTGAGAGGAAGTCTGGTCATTTTTGTTTCCAAGGAGCATTATGGCTGCATTTCTTCCAGGACAGATTTTTTAGTTTTTCTGGCAGTCCATGGTACTCTCAGTATTCTTTGCCAACACCATTAAGTCAAAAATATCAATTCTTCTTTGGTCATTCTTATTCATGTCCAGCTTTCACATACGTACGAGGTGACTGAAAGTACCATGGCTTGGGTTAGGTGTACCTTAGTCTTCAAAGAGACATCTTTGCTCTTCAACACTTTAAAGAGATCTTTTGCAGCACATCTTCCCAGTGCATTATGATATTTGATTTCTCTCACCTTCTTTGGTCATGTTGTTGGAAGGGATCATTCCCTGGAGAGGGGTATCATGCTTGGTAAAGTGGCTGACTGTGGTTGTTGTTGTTTGCCGTCGAGTTGGACCTTTCCTTGGGTTTCCGAGGCGATATCACTACAGAAGTAGACTGCCTAACCTTCCTTTCAAGGAGTGGCTGGTGGGTTTGAATCGCCAGCCTTCTGGCTAACAGTCAAGTGCCTTAGGCACTACACTACACAAGTAAAATGAAATCCCTACCAACTTCAATCTCTCCTCCATTCATCGTGATGCTGTTTATTGGTACAGCTGTGAGGATTTTTATTTTATGTTGAGCTGTAATCCATACTGCAGACTGTAGTCTTTAATCTTCATCAAGAAGTGCTTCAAGTCATCTTCACTTTCAGTAAGCAATGCTGCGCTGTCTGTGTAACACAAGTTGTTAATGAGTCTTCCTCCAATCCTGATGGTGCATTCTTCTTCATATAGTCCAGCTTCTTGGATTATGTGCTCAGAATACAGATTGAAAAGTAAGGTGAAAGGATATAACCCTGACACACACCATTCCTGATTTAAACCATGCAGTACCCCCTCCTTCTGTTTAAATAACAGCCTCCTGATTTATATACAGGTTCCTCATGAGCACAATTAAACATTCTAGAATTCCTATTCTTCCCAATGTTACCCATAATTTGTTATGATCCACAGAGTTGAATACTTTTGCATAGTCAATAAAACACAAGTATACATCTTTCTGGCATCCT